CCAACTTCACAGCGACCGGAGCAGCTCACACCGAAGCCGGCACGCTGCAGGCTGGCAAAGGAGGCCGAGGACAGGCGTGTGAGCAGAGCCCGAGGGCCACGTGCCGCCACGCGGTCCTGCCTGCGCGTTTCTGTTCTGCGGAGCGACGTGGGGACAGACGCCCGCGGCGACCGCGCCTTGGAGGCTTTCCTGCCCCCTTCGCCCCAGGGACACCGTGCCCGGGGAAAGGCGCGTGGGGCGCAGGGCCGAGCACCGCGGGCCGGGCAGGTCCGAGCCACCGTCCCCAGCCGCGCCTCCTCTAGCGTGCCGTCTGCAGCGCCAGGGCGCCCGGGGTGTGCAGAGTGGGCACCGCCGGGCACTCTCCCCGCCGAGGCCGCTCAGGACGAGAAGCGACCTCGCACTCAGCGCAAACGTGCGCACCTCTGGCCTTTCAGGCTGCTGCGGAAGCCTCGCGGCCGGCTAAGGACGTGAGGGCAGGAGCCGCCGGCCACAGAGCAGGACGGGGCGGCCTGGGCAGCACGGGCAGTCCAGGCACGCCGGTGGACAGCGGCCGGGCAGTGAGGCCTTCCCCAGGCACGTCCACGCGTGCGTCGCCCGCTCACACTCCAGACAGGAGCCGCGTACCTTCGGGGTGCAACACCCTCCGCGGACCACACGGCTGAGCGCGGCCGCGCCTGACGAGCGGCCTGGATGACGGGCGGGGGAGCCCCGGGTCCAGGCCACGGGCTGTCCGGCACAAGCTGAGGCCTAGCAGTGTGTGGGCGCTGCCGGAATGCAGCGGCCTCTGCTGGGGCCCCGCTCGCCCACACACGCAGTCCCAAGAGCAGTGTGTACAGAGCCGGAGAACGGCCCGGGGCTGGCAAGGCGAGGCCGCACGCTGGCGGCCGGACAGCAGCTCCGCGACCGGGGCTCCCTCAGCCCCCGGGGCCGCGCCTCTCGCCGGCTCCTCTGCTGACAGGTCGTCACCCGGCAGACCGACTTCACCCCCGTTTGAGGCCGTGAGACGGTAAACCAGCAGCCGGCAGCCAGTGCGGCGCTCCTGAGTGCAAGCTTGAGGCCCCACGCCCCGCCCGGCCCGGAACACGCTTCTCAGTGGGTCCCAGCTCGCCGGCAGGCGGGAGAGGCTTCCTCAGAAGGCAGGAACTGCCGAGACCACAGCCTGGTCGCCAAACGCAGGAGCTAAGGAAATGAGCGGCCCGGTCGCTGCCTTTG